TTTCCTGTGTTACATACACAAGGGTGGTTTGAACATCACCTTCCGTAGCTGGTTCATTCAAACGGTGGGTCCCTGCATGTTCACAGTGCCACACTTAAGGGAACCTGAGTCAACCTGGCCATAATGTTTCCCAACTCCAAAGGCACCATTTCTTGTCCTAGGCTCATAGTTTGGGAACATCTGCCTCTAAATCTTATAGTAACAACCAATGTCACTGAATTTGTAGGAAGTTGTACAATGAATGATAAAACCATTTTTAGCTGATCAAGAGAGAGAGAAAGGGTTCCGAGTTGTGTGCTTTTATTTAAATATATACATTGTAGAAGCTGATATCAAGTCTTCTTAGTGAAGTGCACTTTAAGTTACATAGACCAACTTAAAAAGACGTACCGTATAAACAAACATTTGCTGAACCTATGCGTAGCCGATGGCCATCTAAAAAAGTGCATACATCTTATCCCGTCTTTTAGAGACCCTGGTTGATTGCAAATGAAGCAGAGAAAATATTATCACTAAAATTAAATATTTTTGGATGGTATTTGCTATAATTCTCCTGGAACCACTTGCACTTGGCAAAGGATTTTTTTTTTAATGATTTCGGTTGCCCACCTTTGCTGCTCTTCCTAGTAGAGAGCCGCGACAGCTGACACACCTAACCTCCCCTCGTGAGGACAGGCGACGTCTAGACTTACACAAGCCTCACCATCTCTTCATTATTCCTCCTTTTTGAGGTCAGAAATTATATAATTTGTTACACCTTTTCTGAGTGGAGTTTGGGTTATTCTGATTATATAATATACATTCTCTCGTTTTGAACATTTGTGTAGTTAGACACTTAGCCTTTGAAAGGGCAGGCAATGGGGCCTTTTCTTACATTTTTCTTCAGATTTTCTCTACATCCTGTTTTATGTGTGGTTAGATCAGCTGATGAGTCACGTGATGTTTTGCTGCCTTAAGTGACCGAAATAGATTCAGGATAACCACACAGAGAGTATCTCGAATGTCTACCAAACATGTTGCTCAAAAACATGCTTTTCATGTTCAGCTCCTTCGTATGAAAGCACCGTCTGCGGGTGGCGTGTGGGGTCCCGTCTGTAGGGTGCGGGGAGCAGCTGGCTGCAGGCCCCGCAGACACTCGACACTCACATCACCCCGGCGTTCAAGGCCCCACCACATACCGCGTTGCAACTTCGGTTACAAAAAAGGGGGGACAGGTCTTAGAACGCAAAAGACCCCTTTTCTTGGACTGCGCACTGGGTCAGTGAAGACTTCATCCTGTTTAGAGGGCAGCTGCAGAGTCAGGCGGTCCTGGGCACTGGTCTGCTTAGAGTCCCTGAAGTGCAAAGAGTTTTAAATACAGGAAAGTATTTCTCAAGGTAACATAATTTAATCACAATAATGTAAACCTTTTCTGTTTTGCAACACACTCTCCCACTTCAGTTTGAAGGAAAAAATAAAATCCAGTCAGACAGCTACTGAGTCTTTAAATCATGTTTCTAGAAAGCGAGGGTACAAAAATAGTCTCCCTGGCCCCTTCCCCCCAGAAGAAAAGATCCCTAAATGGGGAACAGTTAAGAGGGTCGGGAGCTGTTGGCTTTTCTCGCTTCTAAAGATAGAATTAAAATAACTTTTCTGATAGTTTGGATGCGTCATGACTGTCCACCCTGAGAGAGATCCAGAAAGGGCTGTGGGTGAGGAGCACTGAGCGGGCCCAGCCCCATCACTACCCCAAGGTCCCCAGGCATCCCTCCTCCGGGGCCCCTGCCCCTTGCTCCTTCCGAGGTTATTTACTGGGAAGACTCAGTGAAGTACAAAGCGCTTTTACTGCTGTCACAAAGCTTTCCTCAGCCCCATCTGATATGTCTTAAACCAGTATTAAACATTTTAGTTTCTAAGGGAATCAGCCATCCATGGACATTTCCAAGCCAAACCACCTGCAGATGCTAAAAAACCAACCAGAGAAGAGTACTGTTAAAGGACATAAGACAGATCCAACGCAGGCAGTGAGGGGGAGTGACTGGCTCTTATCCAGTCATGCAAACAAGTGGCCTTCCGTGCCCCAATTAAAGAAACCCAAACAGATGAGGGTTTCTTGCCAACATGCAAATGTCTCCACACTCCCTGCGCCACGTGGCCGGCAGGTCCAATCCTATCCTGACTCTCCCAGAGCAAGCCTCATCCAGTTGCTTTGGCTCATTCTTTGGTGTCTTACTGATGATACCCCGCACCACTGAGATCCCTGTGAGCAGGGGCAGGACGAACGGCAACTGTGCGTTTAGAATAAACTCCATGTGCCCCTCAGAAAAAGAGAGGCCACCAAAGGCACTGCTCTGACCTCAGCATGCTCAGAGAAACCCTCACTATAGAAAGACTATGCTTTGAGCTGCCCAGACTTGTTTCTCAGCATTTAGATGAAAAACTCCTTTACGTTCTTGCATTTTTAGATTATGTTTGTCTACAGGCAATCACTCAACCTTGAGAAAGTCACACCTGGTCTTTCTGTGGTCCTTGACAAGAAAACCTCACAGCCAGACTTGTTTCTCAGCATTTAGATGAAAAACTCCTTTACGTTCTTGCATTTTTAGATTATATTTGTCTACAGGCAATCACTCAACCTTGAGAAAGTCACACCTGGTCTTTCTGTGGTCCTTGACAAGAAAACCTCACAGGCGTGGTGCCCTTCTAAATATATGTCAGCTGAACGACCTGCAATGAAAAATAAACATGTGCTGGGGGGACATTTCTTTGGTTGGCAAAGTCAAAGACTTGCCCCTAATGACTTAAAAGTGGAAAGAAGTGTCCCCTCCTCCCTGGTTTGACCTCCTCTCGCTTCTATCTGGACGAAGGGATTCCTGGTTAGAACAGATGCAGAACAGTGAATCTACCAGCTTTAAGAAGTTTTGCCTTAAAAGTTGAGGCGTGTGTTAGGCCGTGACTTAAGCAGCCCGAGAGAAGGAACTGTACGAAGGATCATGCGCTTCAAGGCGAGAGGTTTGAACAAGTCCTACAAAACCACAGCTCCGTGTCGTGGTCTGGGTCTGGCGTTGCTGCCTGTGTTCTTGGAAACTCTAACAAATATTATGGCTCATTAATCTCTCACTGAAGTTGTCTCCGGAGTTATAATTACATGTTCTGGTTGCATAATGAAGAGTTTCTAGCTGATCTTTCCTGGATTTAGAGGGAACAGATTTACTTTTTCACTGTGATCTTTAAGATCCAACCCCAGAAGCATGAAATAGTCACAAATAGTTAAAAAATACTGCTGTTTAATTTTCTAGTCATGTACTTTAAAAAAGCCGGTACAATTAGATTTTTTTTTTCATCTTCTCAATCTGCCCCTGAAACCACCCCAAAGCACTCATATAGAAAGCTGCTCTGAAGTGGCACAAAAAGACCTGTCCCCAGGGTGGGCACACGCGAGAGGCGCTGGGTATATGGATGCGAACGCAACCCTGTATGTTCACAGCTGACTTTATGGCCTTACATTCTTTTTTGTATGAGGAAAAATATGATTACACAGCACTGAAAACAAGAAACACAAAAGGCCTGCTTTTTTCTTCCATTCCCATTACTGTCTACACCAGCGGACCCATTTATTCCTGGGGTACCCATAACAAAAAATAATTCTCGTCATTTTCAGCCCTTACATTCATACACAAATCTGCTGCAAGTAAAAGACAATGTTCATTGATACAATACGTTTCAACTGCAGGTATGCTGAGCACGCACGCACTTGCCGTACTGTATTAGAGACATTTTATTGAAAATGCGAAAATAGGAAATGTATTATAGCCTAAAATAAATTACATAACATATACAGCATATATTTATATCTTTAAAATATTCTTTTTTTTTTTTTTTTTGCTTAGGTTCTTTCAGTCTATGAATTTTGACTAAATCAAGAATTTAGTGAACTATGTCCATAATTTTTTAAAGGAAAAAACCCGCTTTCCAAAACTTAGAAAAATATACTGCACTAAATGGACTTCAAATGTGTTATTTCAGGGAATATCACATAGTGACTTTCATATCGTTTACAAAATGTCTTGCTTAAACGTGTGGCGTGAGAGGGAAGTACTGTAGTACACTCTGAATGACCTGTACCGCGTAGTTATGACTAAGAATGGCAGAACCAGGTAATAAATCTACTTCGAAGGTTACGAGACAGCCACCTGGCATTAGAATGCTAGATTATAACTTAAAGCTTCAGTTCACTGTAAAAACTAAAAGGTGAAGTTAAAATGCTCCACTGACTCGCTCTAGCGCCACCTTCAGGAGAGGCAAGTGAAGAGCAAGCCTTTGGGCAGAGTCGTGCGAGGGGTGCTGGGCTTCCCAAACGCGCCTTCCGAGATGTGACACTGTGACAACTGTAATATATACACGGTGGGGACAGCTCACTTGGATCTAGGAAAACAACGTGAAATGTTATGGTTTGCACATGTCAGTCTGCTCCAATGGCATCTCAAACCTTTCTGCAGGAGATACATTGGCCCGACGCAGTCACAAATCTCTGCTCCTTGGTGTGAACAGTGACTCCCGGCTGCTGCCCGTCCCCGGCTTTCCATGTGTGCGCAGTAGACAGTTTATAGCTCCGTGGTGGCAGAGAAAGACAACAGGCCACCAGGCTCCATCTCTTTGTATAGCTGCGTTACTGGGAAGCAAGTCAAAGGAAGGCAAGTTTTTACCTGTTGATTCTTAAGGGAGATCAAGGGGCATGGGGTAGTCTGTGGCCTGCTGGGCAGCGGTGACCCTAGAGGGGATGGCACAGCCAGTCCTTTGGTTCCAATTGGAGATTGTCCACGGGAGGGGGAGACAGCTTCGACTACAAGGCAGCTATGTCTTTTGGGTTTTCATGAAGCAGGGCATGTAGTCAATTGTTTTGTTTTTACAAAGCAACAGTAAAGACCTTTCTTTAGGTCCCCACGTCAGTGTCAGCATACCCAGTATGCTAGAGAATTACATGAAACCTTTAAATCAAGGCCTCTTTCATTACCAAAAAAAAAAAGAACAAAACGTGATGGGAGAGGGAAGAGATGATGCTGAAGTGTCGTCCCGACTGTCCCTGCAGTGCCCCAGGGCGTCCTGTGCCTTATTCATTCTCTTCCCTCATTTCCACGATGTCCGTCACCTCCTCTGCTGGAGGCATGTCGGTCATGGCGGAGTCTTCCCCCTCGGCAGCCGACTCATTCTCCATCTTCTTTTTCTGGACCAAAGAAGACTCATCAGTGTGGGGCTGTGGACAGGGACCCATCACAGCAGAACCCAGAGCAGGCGGACGCTCCCAGGGTCTCAGGGACCCCTCGCTACAGACTCGGCCCTCACTTATGGTGGGGGTGACCTCATGGCGGCTGCATCTGAGTTCAGCATATTCATTCAGTTCGGTTGTGTGTGTACCTGGTCAGGGACCCCTCGCTACAGACTCGGCCCTCACTTATGGTGGGGGTGACCTCATGGCGGCTGCGTCTGAGTTCAGCATATTCATTCAGTTCGGTTGTGTGTGTACCTGGTGCTGTGCTGGGCACTTTGGAGGACACCGTCTCCTGCCTCCCTGCCCTGGATGACCCCCCATGCCCTCCGGAACTCTACCCCCAGGAACACCACCCCCTGCGGCCCCTGCAGTCCTTTCCCCACCCCTCGGGCTCACCTGCAGACTGTTTCCCTTCTCCTCCCGACCCCCTTACCACACCCCCCAGCTTAGGATCTCATGGTATCAGAATGTTCCTCCTCGTCATGTCACCCAGCAGTCCCCTCTGAGACAGCGCTGGGCTCGCAGTCATTCTCTCCTACTCATTGCCTGTCCTAATTCCTGGTGACTTCATTGCCATACTGGTTCCCAGCCCCACCTCAGCCACTCCCAGGCTCACTGCACACCTTGTCACTGTCACCACCTTCAGCACCACCAACAGACCTGGCCCCCAGCCCACTGACCTACCCTCCTTTCACTGTGGCTCACCTCTGTGTCCAATCTCCCCTCTATTTTTGTTTTTTTAAGGCCAGTCAAGTGGAGCATAGGAGTAGAGGAGGAACAAAGAAATCTGTAACTGGTTGTGACCCATTAGCTGTAAACGCCACTGCACTCAGACCGCCTCCCCTCCTCGCTGTCATCAGCCTAAACGAAGTGCTCAATAATCACCTCCTTGCCCTGCTTTTCTTTAATTATATTTGCCAGGCAAAATCTCATCTCGCTAAGGCCCAGATCTCCACCCATCTCAGCCCACACCACTCGGCTGCCAGCGCTGGCAGAGCCCACAGGGCTGGGGGTGGCCAGTGTCCTGAGTTGCGCGTCCAGCAGCCGGGAGTGGGCCTCTGTGCAGCCTGGCCGCTGTGCTCCGCTTCCCTCGCCCGTCCACCCTGCCGTCCTCCTGGCCAACTCTGCCACCCTTCGTTTGAACCTCCAGCATCTCCCTTTTCTCAGCTGATGATATGGCTTCCTTCGCGCTGGTTGTCTGAGCTCCTATCTGGGGCGACCCCTCCTCGTGTGCACAGAGCCATTTGCGTCCACTATCCGCCCCCACCCCCATTTCCAGCATCTCCTGCCTGCTGGGTCATTCCCCAAAGCAAACGACAGGCTGAACTTCTCGTCCTAATTGGTTTTCTGAAATCCACGTCCACACCGCTCTCCTTTAGAACACAGCTCCTCAAAAGGCTTGTCTATACTTGCTGTCTTCAGCTTTCCTTCCATTTTCTTTTGACCCCACTCCATCAGGCTTCCAGCCCCCCAGTCCATAAGACAGTCTGGGCAAGGTCACCAATGTCACCTTCTGATGAATTCTAGCATCCCACCCTGGTGTCCGTCTCCCTCCACGTGTCAGCGCAGCTGCTCCCTGCTCTTGCTCTGAGACAATCCTCCAGGGCCCCTCGCTCTCCTGGTTTCCCTTCCACCTCCCTGGGCTCTTCTCACCTCCCCAGACACCATGTGCTGGCGCACCCCAGAGCGCCATCCTCGGACCTTCTCTGCCTACATCCACTTTCTGCTTAATCTCGTCCCTTTCCTGTTGAATGAGTGAGATGGGATTCCTGCTCCCTGAGAACTCAAAAGAAATACACCCCAAACCATCTGCTAGCCCTGCCTGCAGGATAAACTAGTTACCTGTGACAGGCTGAGTGTGTGTCAACACTGCCTGGAGGGGAGGCGGACACGCGTGGTTGGTTAGAAAAGGCCTCCCGGAGGGGGCTGACGAGGGGATGGATTTGTCGCGGCAACGAGAGGGGAGAGGGTGTCTCCATTACCCAACACTTTATAGAGGGGTCCTTTCTAGCGACAGAGTCTGAGTTTATAAGGACTTGGAGGAATCCCTTTCAGGATTTTCTTGCGCAGTCAGACTAGTATTGAGTTTCTACGTCCTTTAATTCTCTGGAGGCAGTCCTAGGATGTAGGACTGTGACATCCATCCTTTTCACTGTCTCTCCTGAGAAAGACGCTGGCCTTTGGAAACAAGGCGGGGTGGAAGGAACACCCACACAATCACAGAGGAACTCTGTCGCCGTTTTGTCACTAAAAGCTGACTGAGGGCTAGGCAGCGTCAGCCCCGAGGGCTTCTCACGCACACAAGTGGCCTTGCAGCCGTGACAAGCAGCGTGGATCTGCGCTGATGTGTGGGGTGAATGTGAGGTGGCCCCACCATCGCCACCCCCCGTGTGGCCATGGACTTGGGTCTCCCTGCACCTGGGAGGAGGCTTCCCAGCCATGGGGGGTGTGCGCCTGTCACCATCCCTCACCTGTTTCCGATAGACATAGCACGCTGCGATGGCGACCATGGTGGATTCACCCACGAACCCCGCGAGGAGGGAGCCCACGCCCAGGGTGGCTCCGTGTACTCTGGGGATGGGAACACACAGGTCATCTGTCCGTTAAAGCCAAGTCCAGGCACACTAGAGTCCATGACAAAACCCAACAGCTGTTGCTCAAACGCAGGAAGGCGTACACAAGAGAGGGACGAGCGGGACGAGGTGCTTGGCCCAAACCCAGCAGACTGTGAGGGGCTGGCGGGGCCTGACAGCTGTCTGGAAGCGACCCTGCAGACGAGGAAGCAGAGTCGGGAGGAGAGGAAAGGCAAATGGCACACCGGCCTGGCCCAGCTGGGGCTCTGTGGGGCCTTCGGCTCCTCCTTGGGTCATGACCGTGGGAAATGAGCCGCACGTGTCTTACTCTCCCAGTGCAGCCCCTGCTAAGTGGCATCCCCTTCCAAAGCTTTGCCCACTCAGTGTCTACTGCACAAAGACTGACCCTGCTGTGGACCCCCATCCATTCTTCCATTTCTGCCACAGCCCCCAGAAGATGATGCCTGGAGCCCAGGCATCTATGGGCGGGGGCTGCTTGTGGCCTAACTTGGGCACAGCCTGGGGCTGGCAGGCACACCACTGGTCCTGGCCTCCACCAGCTCCACAGCTCATACCTAAACTTAACTATGGCTTTGTAGATTCTGGCTTGTTAGCTTAATGATTTAGGTGGATTATTTTTGGCAATTCATTTTTGACCAGGTGACATGAAATAGCAACAGCTTGATATGATATGTATGCACTCACCATATGCATATCGTAATACACATATACGTGTATACGTGCGATATGTGTGCTACAGCAATGGCCGCATACCATTCAACCATTCTGCCACCTGCTTTCGTATCTGATGTAGAACTACCTCATTTACTACCTCACTCTTGCAGAGTATGCCTCATGATACTGTGTCAGCACAGAAGTTCTCAAGCTGCCTTGCATCTCGGCTGTGGGCATTTTCCTTTCTGACCATATGCCAGCTTTGCTCCCGGATTCTTCTTTTCTCCAGCAGTCCTCCTCTTTCTTTGTACAGCTCCAGATTTTAGCAGTAAGCTCAAACCTATTTTCCTTTTTTTTCATTTTTCTTTTTTTTTTTTTTTTTGTCCTTTTTGAGACCAGCCGCACCGCACTCAGCCAGTGAGCGCACCGGTCATCCCTATATAGGATCCCAACCCGCAGCGGGAGCGCTGCCGCGCTCCCAGCGCCGCACTCTCCCGAGTGCGCTACGGGCTCGGCCCTCATTTCACTTTTAAAATCAACATACTGTAGAACTGACTTTTTGGTGTACAGTTCTAAGAATTTTCACGCATGCATAGATTTGAGTAACCACCACCACAATCAAGACAGAGGACGGTTCTCTTGTTCCCGCAGAACTCCACGTGCTGTTCTTTTGGGTCTACTTTCCTTTCACTGTGTTTGCAACTGCTGCACCTTAAACACAGTCATGCCTGTCTGCTTCATGTCTTTCTAGTCCGCTGTACAGCTTTACACTTTTGTAGGTGATGTGACTGTAAACATTTCCAAAGGAAGGAAGATTTAATCAAGCCTGAGGGTTAATAGGAATATTTCTTTCACTCTGTTTTTCTTTACCTGGAACTGGGAAGAAGGAGAAGATGCGCAAAGGAACCACGCAGAGTTCTGCAAAGGCGAAGTCCACTCCAATGATGTCTATCAAAATTTTCTCCGAAACGTTGGGAGTCCAAAACATCACAAAACAGAGCTGGAGGGAAAAAGACGTTGAGCAAGGTGGTAAGAAAAAGGCATAAGCAAGTGAAGTGAGAAAGTCAGGGATTACCCAGTCCCCGGGGAGTGACAAAGGACAGCGAACCTGCCTGCAGGTGGCTGACACGCCAATCCCAGAGCCGCCCCTCCCTGCTATGCTGTCAGCTGCCAACACACACCCTGGTCATTTGCCACATTTGCCCCGATGAGACCCCTGCAGCCGGGCAGATGTGGCACAGCCAGCAGAGGGCTGTATGTGAATGGGTAACCGGGTCTCGTGCAAGGCTTCACTAGGCGCTACACAGCTAGTCAGCTCAGGGTGGGCATGTTTATTCATATAATTTTTCCAGCTTTAACAAAATGACAAAAAGTGATGTGAAAGGATCTGGATGGGGACAGAACCACATTGAATCAGCACATGTAATGAAAAGGGAAATATTAACAGTAAGAGTAATTATCCGCTGTAAACTTTGCAAGGTCTAGTTCAGAAGATAAGGGAAGAGACAACAGCAACAAAATTGGCAACTCTGGAAAGCAGATGGCGAGTGGTAAACTGATTGGACAGACTCAAGAAAACGGAATCCTAAACTGACAGGTGGAAGTGGACGCTCTCCCCTCTTCCTGTCCCCATGGGTCAGCAAGTGTGGCACAGGTCCTTCTGGAAGTGGGGGTGAAGGCAGGGCCCAGGGCGGAGTGGCGGAAGGTCTCGTGAGTAAGCAATTCCTCCACAGCTCCCCATGCACAGCTGGCTACTGTGCCTCTCCAGGCTCGGCAGGACCCAGGAGCTTAGTCTCCAGATCAGATAAAACATAGGGTGCCTGGCACGGCTGAGGGCAGAGTCACTACACAGAAAACTGGGGGGTTAAGAGGATTCATGTTGGGTTCCCCATCCTCTTCCTCTACTCAGCTCCTGGAACATGGGAAACCAGCAGAGTCCCACCCAGACAGGAGACCCACAGTGGTCTCTGAAGAATCTGACCAGCCTAAGAGAGGTGACCTAAAGTTTCTGAAAATTCGAGGCTCCCAAAGCAGCAGCCCCTCTGGTCCAGCCATCAGTGAGGCCTACACAGGTGAGAAAGCTCACCCCAGTGCTCACAGCTTCTGATCAGCTGCTAGTGCTCCACTTATAAAAATGAGCAAACAGGGATCACCACACTTTGCCGAGGGCCTCCAATAGGAAGAGGCCAAAACAAATAAAGGGGAAAAAAAACTTGAAGGAAACAAAGATCATGCAGAGAGGGAGAGGGGGACGAGAGACGGAGGGAGAGAACTTTTCTCCACCGATATTCTCAGAGATGGGGAGATCCTGCATCCGTGAAACAAGCACAGAATAGAAATTTTACAAAAAAGACATTCATGCAACAAAATAGAACTTCTGGAAATTAAAAAGATGAATGCATAAATGAGAAACCAACTGATAGTAAGATAAAGTTAGGGAAGATAGAGCAGAAGATAAAGGTATGAGAAGTACATGAGAATAGATTTATGAAAAATAAATGCCCCACATTCAAATAACAGGAGTTCCAGAAAGATAACAGAAAAATACAAGTTTCCAGGTGGAAGGGGCCCATCACGTGGGGGTAGCACAGTGGATGGGAAAAGACCCACCAGTGGGGACAGAGAAAAGATCGTAAGAGCTTCCAGCTTCAGGCTCAGTGGCACTGAACGCTAGAAGACATGGAGCAATAAGTTTGGAGGCAAAACTATTTCTATCCTAGAACTCTAAACCAAACTGTCAAGTGTTTTTAAAAGACTTTTTCAGATATTCAAGTCCTCAAAAAGTCTATCTCTCATGCACACTTTTTCAAGAGCTATTGAGGGATGCTCTGCTATTGAGGGAGGAGTCATAGGGAAAGAAAGAGAAAGACACAGGGTGGAATGCAAGAAAAAGCAGAGGCTCTGGACGGAGGTAAAGGGGGTCCCAGAAGGGCTGCGGTGTGGCAGAAGAGGGTGAAACAGACAGGATACCTGACGTGTTCCAATACGTGAAAGGAGATTTACATGGTAAGGGGAAAGTGGGACAATTAATTAGTGTTGAGTATACAGAAAACTAAGAAAAATTATAATTATTAAGTCCAGGAAACACTATAGATATTCAAGAAAAGAAGAGACTCAGGCTCAGCGTCAGAGTTTACCACAGTCATATCTATCAGGAGTTAAGGGGGTACCTCTGGGAGCAGGAAAGGGAATTGGGGGAGGGGAATGGCTGAAGACATGGGTTGGGGACACGGCTATTGTTGGTAAAAATCCTTATAGGACTGACCAGCTTACATTTTGTGCTTATTTTAAAAACCTGAATTAAAAGACATAGTGATATACGGCTGGCTGGTTAGCTCAGCTGGTTAGAGCGCGGTGTTGTAACACCAAGGACAAGGGTTTGGATCTCCATACAGCCCAGCCATAAAAAAAACCCAACAACATAGCAACCAACACCCCCCCCCCCCAAAAAAAAAAAAACCCTGTAATGATATACTGTGGAGGATCTATTATAAATACGTTCCTCTTTATAAATGCAATAGAGTTTTTTCAGATGTATTTTCAGCATCTGGGAAGTATATCCCAGTTTTCAAAAATGGCAGATATACCATCATTTCATCCTGTTGCTTGATGGTAGGACTCACATCCCATCTTTGACATGAAGGGAAAAATACTTCCTTAGATCTAGCAACTCAGAGCTCGGGGACTTTATTACCTGAGTGCCCTGGACAAGTAGACCTGTCATCTTTTCCCACTGCAAAGCTGCCAGCCTAAAATGGTGAGACATCACTCAGGCTTCAGCCCGGCTATGGCCGTGATTTCATATTACAGCTCCCAAACAACACTGAGCATGGTGTCAGGGCACAATTTATTTCCCAGTCTATTTGCCATCCTGAAAAACAGATGGATCCCCCTCCTTCCAGCTTTGCTTTATATGAGGCCCCCAAATATTTCCCATAGCAGGAAAGCTGTAAAGAATTGAGAGCAGGGAGCACTGCCCCCAAGTCTGGACTGGATCTGTGCCTTAGGACCCACGGATGGTAAGCCGCCCTGTGCTTCCCTAATGGTTAGAGTAAGAGACCTAGGCCACATTCTGCTAGAAACTTAAGCCTCCAGGAGAATCATTTGCATGCTTTATTTATTTTCCAACCAGCGATGATCTGAACGTGAGATAATGCCTCAAACGAATATTGGAATCTCTCTGGGCTTTGCAAAATCATTGTCAAGAGTGAGCCAATTGCATGTGAGAGAGAAGGGTGGTGCAACCGTGCCTCTGTGGCAAACAAGCCAGGAAATTCCTCTCTCTGGCCTCTCCACAGGGATAACGTTCACCTGGAGGCTTTTTACAGTCTTGTAAAAGATGGCCAGTTAACCTTTGGAGGAGGGAGTCTAATTTGAGGACACAACGATAGTGAATGTGCCCATGTCAACTGAGGCATTTAAATCAATGTCAGCTAACCTGGGTGGGTGACCACAGTTCTGGTACCTTGAACACAACCACAGTGCAAAGATTTGGTGAATCTCTAACAGCAGCTTCCTGGGATGGTGGCTCAATCCAGATGGTCCCTGACTTACAGAGGTTTGACTTAATGATTTTTCAACTTCACGATGGCACAAATGCAATATGCATTCAGTAGGACATCAGTAAACTACATGAGATGTTCAACACTTTATTACAAAACAGGCTTTGTGTTAGATGATTTTGCCCAACAGCAGGCTAATGTTAAGTGTTCTGAGCACATCAAAGGTAGGCTAGGCTAAGCTATGATGTTTGGTAGGTCAGGCATATTAAATGCATTTTCAACTTAAAATATTTTAAATTTATGACAGGTTTATCAGGATGTAGCCCATCGTAACTCAAGGAACATTTGTATTCCATTTCTAAAATTCCACAGTATGATTTAACCCGGTACTGGGAAATCACGCTGTTCTTTAGCTGGTATCTATCTGTGCCAAGCATACTTTAAATGCACCTTATCAAAGCCACAGCCACAGAGGTGCTTCTTCAGAGTTTTCACCCACACACACCTAGAGCCTAGATTGCGTCTTCTAGGAACATTGTAACTGAAAGCTGTCAGTCTGTTTTGGGCTCAGGCAATCACAGGTAACTAAAGAAAAGGAATGCTGCACTTATGTTCTTTCTCTTTCTCCCTGAGGCCTCTGAAGCCTTTGCCATGCTCCCAGTATGAAATGCTGCCTTGCCTTCCAGCAAGTTCTTCAACAATTGAATATTTCTCACACTGTCCAGAAAGAAATGCATACAACTTAGAAATAGGTATGATGTTTGTCAAAGGCTATGGTACCTGTCTGCAGGTCAGCTTTCCCTAAGCAAAGTACTGAGCCCTAGCAAAATAATTAGAGCAAATTTAACCAGTCCATTTCAAAAAACAAGAAGCTTTAGAAGTTAACCTAACAAAGAATATTTCAGGAAAAGTGTCATTCTAATGAGTTTACCCAGGGTAGTTTGGACTCAGAACATGCCCTCCCAGGTGACCATGACATGCTGTGTTCTTCAAATATTTGCAGAGCCTAATGACATTGATTTTCCCAGAACACAAACCTAATAAACTCCTGACAATGAACATGATTTGTTCCTCTGAGCAGCTGTGGGGTTGGGTTTTCTGCTGCAGAGTTTGCTGTCAATATTATCTCATTAGGAAGCAGCCTTCAAAACAGGACAACCCACCCAGTGCCCAGATTTTGGCTTTTTGTATTTACTCTCCAATAAAAGGAACAAGAGCTCCTTGAAGAAATGGCTCATTCTAGGACTAGGGCAGGGAATATGCAAGATAATCGACCTGCAGTATCTGTAGCACCCAAAGTAAAGAAGTATTCGAAAAAACAAAACAATGGGGACATGTCAAAGGGACACAGGAGCCCACCAGAAAAAGCTCCTAATAGCCAAAGCTGGGACAACCTGAGCAACAAAAAAGAGGGCACTTCGAAAAGTTCATGAAAAGATTTGCATTATCTTTTAATTCTCTTTTCCTGAGAGCTTTTTGAATGCCCTTGTAATGCAGC